CTCGGTCGCGTAGTCCCTTCTCGCCTAGCAAAGTGTTTTTAAGCTTAATGTATTGTTTCAAATGAAGTAGCCTTAACTGCTATCATCTTAGGTATATACAATACAGTACAAACTTTATTAACACACTCCAGGGGGGCTGTTTTGGTGTTAATCATCTCTAGCAAAAATATATAAGATAAAATTGCAATACAATCACTCTAAAATTACAATAAAATACGATAAAAGTTACGATGTGGTAAGGAGTTAAACATCCACGTAAGAGTTTATTTCTTTATTTTCTTTAAAATAAAAACAGATTCACATAACTTAAAAGTATGATACAAACCGTGTTATGGAGAGCAAAACGTAAACTGCGGCTAACGCTGGAGCGTGTGAGTCGTTTTCGACCGAGGTAAGAATTCAACCCAATGCAATCGCGGAAAACAACACCGAAAAATTTGCAAACGCGGGAAAATACGCAATTTGCTGCAAAAGAGAGGAAAAAATATGGCCACCAGACGTAGAAATGGAGGAATACGTACCTCGTTGCAAATGCGGGAAAGTGTTTGTAACGAGATACAAAAGATATAGAGTAAAAGCTGAATTTGTAATGCGTACACAAGAAGTTAACATCTAATCTAAAAATCTAGATTGATTACTTTTTTTCGCAATGCTTTAAAAATAGAAGCAAAATAACCTAATTTAGTCGGACTGCGTCATTAACGAACATTTGCTTGATCCCTTTTGCTGGTGAGATTTCTTTGCTTTTAAACCTTCAAAGAGACCCAAAATGGTGATAGTAAATTTCTTAACTTCTTTGTTTACCACGTAGGTATCTTTGTTTTAGGGAATTTTGAGACATGCCCGGAACATTCTGCAATTCTGAGTTCCGTTGGATTGCCTTTGGCAAAAAGGTCCCTCCATTCATATTTACATCGTATATCATATCATCACTTAGGAAAGGCACCCAATTTATTACAAAACCCAACAAAAAATGCACACCAATTTCTATTTGTTCGTTATGTTCTTAGGTTAACACGAGGAAAACCCACAAGAAGTCAAATGTTTTAAACTAGATAGCCCAAATTATATCTCCCAATTTTTTACACCTCGTGCTCGCCTGATTAATGTAAATTTCACTATATATATTTTTCTTTCCATTAATTAATTTATTTTTAATATTTGTATATGCATAACTCACATTTTATCTTGTTTTGTATTTTTAGTAGTCTGACGAGCGTATTTAAGATAAGCCTCTGGCTCAGAAGATTGTGCAAACACTTTCCACGCCTTCGACATTAAATAACGTATTCTATTCTCTTATTTTGTTCAATTAACAAGAATGATGGAATATTTGTTTCACATATTGCCATTTATCAATTCCACTTGTCTTTTCTTTTTTTTCTCACCGCGAGATATTTTTCATTTCGGGAGAAACTTCGTATGTTATTCAGCCAAAGCTTGTTGCCGTTAACAGATGTCCCACCTTTCAAATTCAGCTCAGTAAATCACATTTTAATTTTCAAGCTTGTTTAGATCTTTCTGTTTCTAAAATGTATGAGGAATAGATGTGTTTTTATTGAGCCGCAATTCGACAAGATTCAATCGGAAAATGAAGTTTTAGCCCCTTCGCTCTTAAACTAAATTAAGAAACCAATTTTACAGCGATTATTCGATATTACGAAAGTCTATTCGAAACCAGTATCACAGCTAAAGTTCTGTTTGTGATTGATAATTGTTGATTCGTTGCCCGTGGCAAATGTACGTAAGCGGAAGTTGGTAACCAAAGCACAAACCGAATAAAGAGAAGCAATATAATTTGCAGCACTAACGAACACATCCTCTTGAATGATCTTATAAACCTTGTTGACTCAACGCAAGCTAAGTTCTCGATATCATTTGCTGGCAGCATTCCTTCTCGTCTAACTGGTTCGAGAGACCTGAAACGGTTTGTATGATTTTCTAAACTTTCGTCACTAAAGTTGTTTGCCGGAGCTTTCTCGAATTATGGCGGCTAAAACACTTAAAAAACCGTATCGCTGGCAGACAATGAGGTTCAAACTTTCCTAGAAGAGGAAGAAAACCAATATACTAAAAAAAAGTTGCACATTCACTGGCTTTGGTGTTAGCATTTCCCTCGGCTGAGAATGAAAATCGACAACTGGAAGGTTTGCCACGGGCTGATTTTAGCCGTGTACCTGAAATACTTCTTCTGTCGGTAAGGACGAAGTCAATGAATGAGAATTTTCTCGTGTTCAACACTACATCTCACTCGTTCGCTGCGCTCGCTCATGAGCTATCAACTATCTACGCGCGCCCATGTACTATTCTCTATTTAAAACTACTCTTTGGAAAGTTTATGGTAGTGAATTAATTTGAACTTTACCTTGATATGGAAAATACCTTTAAAAATCCCGCACGATACCTTTTACATAACCTATCGACGCATTAACCTCGAACCGATCATAAGCAAAATATGTCTCCAGCTTGTGACTCAATGACACTGATAATTGTTATTTGTTTCGAGGGTTCCTTACGATGTCTTTCGAATCACCTTCACGAGAAACCTTAATTCGCTGCTGATAAAAAGCATGACGAGTCAGTAAATTATACTGATATTTGGAACAGCACTATTCAATTACATCGCTTTTACCAAGTCATACATCAAAAGTGATATGCATGCAACAAGACTGTTAGATGAACCAATGGATCAACTTTAGCTCATTTGAAATATGTACAAGCTACAGCTCGATTTGAATGATGGAAGAAATCAAAGGATTGCTTCTTCTATTTGTGCTTTTACCAAGTCATACATCAAAAGTGATATGCATGCAACAAGACTGTTAGATGAACCAATGGATCAACTTTAGCTCATTTGAAATATGTACAAGCTACAGCTCGATTTGAATGATGAAAGAAATCAAAGGATTGCTTCTTCTATTTGTTGTGTTTTGTTTAAGGGGAAAAAAATTAAATCAGAAATTGATCCGTGACTCCTAATGACACAATCGTCAAACCGCTCGTCTCGTCAAACCCGGACAAAATTCGTCTAAGAAGGAAACTTTGTTTCAAAGATCCTCAGGCTGTTCTCAGCATTGTCAAACTTGACTGATATAGGTAAAGAAAACTTCTGTTTCACTTCACGTGTTCGTGAAAGAAAAGCGGACAAAAACGTAAACTGAATGACAGTAGTGGGCAAAAATGTGAAAATAAGCCACGCTCTTCGATGAATTGTGAGTTTCCTGCTCGGACTCGAAAAAAGGAAAGGAACAGTTTTTATAGTAGAATCTTTTTTTGTGTGGTTATCCCACCGCACACCAGTCTATCGCGTCCTATTAGGTTAAAACAAACTTTTCCAAATATTCAAAAGTCATTCATGATCATATAATAAAACGCTTATTGATTGAGTTAGTTCATACATAATCCAAATGCAGTTACTGCTTTTCTCAGGCTAGAAATTTTTATTAAACACCGCAGTTTAATAACAATTTGCATCTATCAGTCAGACCGGCTGAATTTTCACAACTTAATTGTTTTCCTTGCAAATTTATAGTTTTCTCAAGGGTTTGAGGGCTCTGCCGAATAATAGACAATTCATTCAGTCATGATGTAGAAAAAATAATTATCGCCAGAAAAAACATGGAAGGAGATGAACTTCATTCGTTTGACTCACGAAGAACAACGAAATTTTGATATAATTACGTGGCGTCTTACCTAGGGAGATGTTTCTTTTGTAATATACCTCGCCTTTGAAGGTGATTTTCAAACAAACTTGCCACCTGCTACAAGTTACACGAAACGATAGGCCGGAGAGTAGGTTACCTTTCAATAGAGGACGAAGTATTTCCAAAACGGCAAACTGATGTATAATTCGGCAGAATAAAAACAATTATCTTTTTCTTGAAATCATGGTCAAACATACAGATGTTTAAGTCTTGCATTAGTTTAGGCTTTCGTCAAACAATTGTGTGTCTTGCACACGTCACTGTGAGGAAGTTAAGAATAGATCAAACGCTCTTGGCCCTTCCGGTTACTTTAAAAATGGGCATAAGCATGGAAAGGCCTTTCCTACTCTGAAAGTATATAGGAAATGAAGAGAAATTGTGGTATTTCAATAGAAAGCCGAAAGGGCATTTTGCACTAAAAAGAACCTCAATTTGTATGAGGGACACGTGAACTAGTAGTTAGCCACTTCAATACCGTTTTGGGGAAATTTTCCTGTGGAATTAAGGCTAGTTACAAATAATATCTTTAGTAATCCATTTTTCGCTTTTTAGACCTAATTTTTAACTCTAAAAAAGCTACACTCTCTGCACTGTGACGGGTGAAGACTGGTAGAATTGAAAGACAACAATTCCAACCATGCAAACAATCTGTTACCTTACTGAATGAGTTAAACAACACTATTGGGAATTGTTAACGCAACCAGTGAGAGAAACTATTAACTCCTTTTAAATCCCTAGCCGCAGGCAACAGTCATCCTTTAATTGTCGCGTGTCATTAGTAAATGAAAAGAAAAAAATAATATTAATGAAAAAGGCTTTTTTGAAAAAGATGTTAATCAACTCTAGGTCTACAACTTTCTTATTGAACAGCTGTGCTCATCACATAAAATTCAGGTTTTGCGATACAAACACCCTGTTCGATTCTAAGTGTTATTCCCGGGAAAATTATGAAGAGATCGAGGATCCGTATAAGAAAGTTGTCATAGATGAGGTAGGCTATAAAATCATTTATTTTAAATCAGATGACAAATTATTATCAGCCACGGGTTAGTTCACTATCCATATTTTTTATGGATCCATTCTAATTTTTTTACCAATCTTTACACAAGAACTAAGGAACAGAAAATCATGCGTCCATTTTGAATATATTACTAAAGATAATTATTCAGTGCGCGATCTCCTGTTTTCTTATTCAACGGCTTTGCATAACCCATAAAATGCCGATTTTTGCAATAAGAAAGCCTTGTTTGATTCGGAGTGTTATCGTCGGAAAGTTATAAAAAGCCTTTACATGGAATGACAAAGCGGCTGAAAAAGACCACCCTGAGCCATAAAAGTAATTAAAGGTATCTTTCTTTCTGTTTTGAACATATTAGGAAAGATTATTGAGAGCTCGGCCGTGTACAGCTTATGATTGAAGTGCTGATTTCACAATGCAAACTCGTCGTTCGATTCTGAGTGCTTTTGCCGGAACATTATAAAGAACCCCAGGATTCACATAAGAATTTTTTCTAGATAAGGTAGGTTATGAAAATTATTTACTTATCCATTCGCTTTTCACTAAAAACTATTTTCGCTACTGAGGAGGAACACCATACTTTTTAATGTTTGTATGGATTAAACAAAAATCTAGGAAGAAGTGATAAATAGGGAATAATACAAGGGCGCGCGTAGATATGGAATTTCTCTTCGAGTGTTCAACTCGATAACTCACAAGTGAGCGCAGCGAACGAGTGAGATGTCGAGTTGAACGCGAGAAGAGAAATTCCATATCTACAAGCAACCATGTATTATTTTTTTTATCATATAAACACAATAGCCCTTTACTGACAAGAAAAGCCGACTTCATTAATGAATGAAAATAAATTAATCGACAATCCCCAAATAACAATCGTAAAGTGCGTTAGCGCTAACTCTTAAGATGGAAAAATGCGTTGAATCGTGATTACAAAAACAACAATGGTCGTAATTGTTAATTTACCAAATTCTAATTTATTGACTTTGTCCTTACCGACAGAAGTTTTTTAGGTAAACGGCCAAAATCAGCTAGTGGCAAATCTTCCAGTTGTCGATTTTCACTCTCAGCCGAAAGAAATGCCAACACCAAAGCCACTGAGTACGTTACTTTCGGTTTTTCTTTAGTATATTGGTTTTCTTCCCCTTCTGGGAAAGTTTGAATCTCGCTGTCTGTCAGCAATACGGAATTTTTAGTGCTTTAGCCGCCATAATTCGAAAAACCTCCGACAATCAACTTGTATTGAGAATCGTGAAAACTTTGCCGTTTGTCGGTCATCAACCTGACCGAGTGGTGCCAAAGGCGAGTGACGTCAGCAGCTGATTGGCTATATCAACACACGTGAAAAAATACGATATTTTTTCACGTGTGTTGTTACGGCTTTTCTCAGGGCCGGAAATCCCTGTATAACACCGCAGTTTATGTGATAAAAAGATATAGCTTCTGAAATACAATGCTATTCTGTGACAATTACATCTAAAATGCTAGGACTCAGTGAAGGCCATGTTTAACCCATCTGATACGTTTTAGTTGTTATTTGTTAATGTAAAGATATTTTCAAAATACGTTGTCTTCTTCCCTTAAATGCAACAATGGAGATGCGTTCAAATAATATATTGATAACAAGATTTAGCTGGAGAGCATACATGGGCTGCCTAAAATTTATGTTGATTTTAATTTTATGCACGACTCGAAACTAGTATGAAAGATTGGTAGGCGACGCGCCTCAAACATACATGAGGACCGACCTGAAAACGCATGCTTGATTGCAAACTGCATTTTAAGTTCGTAATTGTAAAAAAAATTGAGCTTTTCTAGACAGCCTGAAGTACTGGAAAGAAAATCAGTTGTTTATTCACTTATTCATTCATTATGCTTTTTCAAGTAGAAAAGATGTCAAACCTAGAGCTACCAAGTCGAAGCTTAGCTGTTGTTATAATTGAGGCAAGCATATGCGTTGCTCTCAACATTACGAGCCTCATTGGAAACAGTCTGGTTTGTATAGCAGCTTACAGAAACCTTAAACTGCGATCCACTACCAACCTGTACATCGTTGCCTTAGCAGTCAGTGACCTGTTAGTTGCAACCATCGAAATACCGTTAGCTTCTTCAACGCTGATCGTTGGAAAATGGGACTTTGGCAACGCGTTATGCCAAATTCAGGGCTTTGTTGCTGAATTCGCCTATTACGTGACCCCAGCCACCCTTAGTTTGACAGCGTTTAACCGTTACGTGAAAATTGTGAAGACGAACTACTACAATAAGATTTTTTCACCCCGAAGATCTAAGATATGGCTGAGTTGCTTGTGGCTTTTCCTTGCACTATACCTGCTGATTGTCCGAGTCACAAATTGGATCACAATTAATTTCGTTCAAAGCTTTGCATTGTGCGCCTTTTCTTATCCAAGTGATGAAAGTCAAATCGTTCATTACTGTCTGACTGTCGGATTGTTTTTTGTTGTACCGTTGTGCATCGGTACTTTTAGTTACTATAAGATATTTCTCAAAATCAATGAGCATCAACAGAATGTATTCAGTTCGTTACAAAACAGAAATAACAATGATGCATTAAAGAACTCAGTGAGAGAAATCAATCTTACTCGAATGCTGTTCATCGTGGCCGTGGGATTTTTGTGTTCCTGGATACCAATGTGGGCAATAGTCCTCTGGTTTCGTTTTTCCCCTGAAACCTGCCCAAGAATTGCAGCTTTGGTTAAAATTTTTATCTTTTTTCTTAGCGCTTCAGTAAATCCCATTATTTACACTTTCACCAATGGCGTGTTCCGGAAGGAATTTCGAAAATTGCTCTGTTGCTACCGTGAAAGGGTAAGAATGGTGCCAATCGGTAACTAAAAAACGATTGCGTGGAATGAGAAGAACATAAAGCGAATTTTTATGTCTCGCAGACTCGTGTCAGAGCAACATCATCTTTTGAAAGCTGGACGGAATTTTTATTTTATTGTTTCTATTTCTTGTTGATTTCGTGGTTCGGTCTCTTTGTTTTGTTTTGAATGGCGTGTGTGGGTGCGTGTCTGCGTAATTTTTTAGGGGTTTGTTTGTTTACGTTATAGAATTACTAAACGCTTTATAGTTAACTGATATGTAAACGTAATATTTTTAATGTTGAGCAAAAATTTCATGGTAATTGGCATGAAAATAATTGAAGCAAATATAAATAATAAAATATTTCCTTACTGGCCTGTGTTGTGTAGCTTGTTTCAAGGCTCTCACGAGCGACGTCAAGAAGGATACACAGGAAGGTTGGGAAATATTACGGAAAGTCCGATAAGTTTCCTCCAAGCGCACATTTCTAGTCCCCACACCCACTGATAGCCATAGTGGAGCGCTCAGAGCGTAGCCCCATAATTATGAAATTGGGCCGGTAACCGATCCAGCCGAGAACGTTTGTTACTGTAAGACCGTGCAACAACCAACCGTCTGCACAAGATTCTACTTATGGCATGCTTAAACAGTTATATTACGGGCACATCTTTCTCACCCCGTTACTCTTGTTTAGCGTACGACTCATACGACTCGTCAACATATGTCTTTGCTTGTATTACTTGACATTAGCGCTGCGTATGATACGGTCGACCATATCATCCTCTTACACCGTCTCGAGACATCATTTGGTGTTACTGGAGATGCGCTCAAATGGATCGCCTCCTACCTGTCAGCTCGATCTCAACGTATTATGATTAATGGTGTACTGTCTGATTTGATTTGTCATTTGTAGTTCCTCAAGGGTCATGCGTCGGACCACTTCTGTTCTCTGCTTATGCGAGCAATCTCTTCCAGGTTATCAAGAACCATTTGCCTAATGCGCATGCGTACGCTGACGACACTCAGCTTCATTTGTCGTTCAAGCCAGACAGTTCAATGGATCAGAAGAAGTACTATGGAAAGATGTATCAGGGCCGTAAGGGCGTGGCTGATTGTTGATAAATTAAAGCTGAATGAAGATAATTCTGATTTCCTACTCATTGGAACTCGCCAGCAACTTAGCAAAGTTAGAACTGACAGCCTTATGGTTGGTGACACGCCGGTAAAATCAGTCAGTGAAGCTAGGAATTTAGGTGTCTGGTTCGATTCTAATTTCCAGTTTCGCAACCATATTAACAAAACATGTTAATCAGCTTTCTTTTCGCTATATAACATAAGGCGTATAAGGAAATATCTACCTTTTGAAGCTGCAAAGTCATTAGTGCAAGCTTTTGTTATATACTGAATCGACTACTGAAATGCAATATTATATGGTTTGCCTGCTATACACGTTAGTTAAATTCAGGATCATTTTCAAGGTAAATTTGTTGACTTTTAAAGCTCTCCATGGCCTAGCGCCAGCATATCTTAGTGATATTATATCATTCAAAGGCAATTCTAATTATAATTTAAGATCAAATTTTAGTAATTTATTAGCTCGCTTATATTTATTAGATCTGCCAAGACCACTGGGGACAGAGCTTTTTCGGTAGCTGCCCCATTTTTATGGAACATTTTTAGACTATGTACTATATAGATTTTTTTATTGCTTTTTAAGTTATTGTTAAATATAATTTTGTTTTCATTTTTGTAATCTAACTATCATATTCCCTGCGATTTCTTTAGATATTTTTTAATTTATTGTAAAGCGCATTAGATCATATACTTATAATGAATTTTGCGCTATATAAGTATTAAATTTATTATTATTATGACTCAGCATAACGCGCGCGCTGAATTTACACAGGGCCGTAATAACAGTTACTCTAAACCGAGATTGATCGGAATAAGGTTACTCTTAGAATGCCTCACTGGCTGCATTGCGGGGTTATTGACACCAACACGTTCCCCTTAATTCAGCAAACGACTCGTGATTCGGGTTTAAAGTTGACCAACCAGCTAATCCCATTGCAATTTTTTGTATTCTTTCGCATGTTTTTGCCTAGCATACAGAGAAACGTATGACAGTTAGTATTAATCTAAGTTTTTCATTGTAATTTCATCTGCCTATCAAATATTGTAGATGACAGCATGAATGTATCGAAGGAGCAATGGCTAGAAACAATACAGGCTAATTGAAAAGCACGTTATATTGCTAATAAATATTGCTAATGAAAAGTCGCAAGTGATTGCAGTCACCATGGGGCTTTTGTCCTTGTGTAAAAAGACTTTTAGAAAAATTCTTAAAAGATCAAAATACTCTTTAAATAATTCATTGCTAGCAGCTCCTTGATTTGAAATTATTGGGATATTTCTTTTCTTTATCCCCATTTTGGTAAAGCTCTTTCACCTATAAATTAAAACCCATGGCGAGACGGATAAGTTCGGCTGCACGTCAGATATTTTGTTGATCATCGAATGAAGATGATAATTTTTCTTCAAGTCGTTAAACAATGGGAAACTGGAAGCGGATACAGCTTTTTTCCCTTCAGTGAGGTGAAACTCCAAAAAAAATCCTCATATCCCTCAATTGCTTTCGTCCTTTTAATTTTCGATTCCTTTTTAATAGTAATGACGTATAAAACATACGCCTGGAAAAAGATGAATTAAACGTTGGTGGAGTTCGAATTCATGCACGATTCATGAACAATAGAATGAACGGAACCTCAATGAGAGAATAAACTTTAGTCGAGTGTTGTTGTTCGTAGCTGCTGGGATTTTGTGCTGTTGGATACGAAGGTAGGCACTCATCCTTTGGACTCACTTTTCCCGGAAACCTGTCTATGAGTAGCAATGCTTGAATGCATCGCAGGAGCAATAGCTAGAAACAATACAGGCTAATTGAAAAGCACGTTATATTGCCAATAAATATTGCTAATGAAAAGTCGCAAGTAATAGCAGTCACCGTGGGGCTTTTGTCCTCGTGTAAAAAGACTAGAAAAATTCTTAAAAGATCAAATTCTCTTTAAATAGTTCATTGCTAACAGCTCCTTGATTTGAAATTATTGAAATTATTCCTTCTTTTTTTAATCTAAGTGCTTCAATGAATCCCATTAATCCCATAGTCTTAGTAAATGAATTAAAAGAGGCGCTTGGCAAAGTTTTGACATTACTTGTAAAATCAACCAATCAGTAGAAATAGCAATATCTATAAAGGTGGTCAAGGTTTTGAAAAGCAATCAGCCCCTTGGCACCCTCAGTCATTGTGACTAGTTATCCCTGTCATCTATCACAAAAAATTTGACAGGTGCCTATTCTGTGTTGGAAAATAAATTTTTCAGAAGACGATCCTTGTTCGGCAGTTCATAGGTTATAAACAATTGGTTTTGTGCTGCAAATGCCTTGCTTGAGGACGAAGAGTCAAAAAGTCCAAACGGTACCTGTTTTGAGTTTTGTTCGTTTAGGAAACCCGCGCACCCTCTATGTTTCCACGCGCGCGTGCGTAAATACTAATTTAAACAAAGGAAGAATGATCATTTTAAAACCCCTTTGTGAAGGATGATAACAATCTTTGAGAATTAAAAAACAACAACAACAAAGGAAACAAAAATAGAGAGATAACGTGGCGCCTACAGCTTATATATTTCATCGTTGTGAATAATTGTAAATTTAGAAAGACTCCTTGCAACTAACTTTTTTGGCATCTATAATCTTTCAAGAAAACACAGACTTTAATTAAAAGGTGCCGATTTTGTGTTGGACCGATAATTATTCCGAATGTGTTCTATACTTTTGTTATTGACTGCTTGTTCCCAGGTTATAAACAGCTGGTTTTGTGATGCAAACGCTTTACTCGAATATAAATGATATCGCCGTAGCTTTTTGGCGAAACCGATAATCCCTTAAGGAAAGTTCTTGAAGGTGAGGTATGTTGAGACAATTATTTCGTGACCAAAGTCCATTGTTGAATATTTCATCAAACAAATGACTTTTTATTTTAATTTCTTCTGAAGCATATCTTTCCAAATACAAATAACATATTTATTTGTATATTGATTCATATTAAACACAGGGGAAACTATCAGCAAAATAGAGCCCTATTGAAAAAAATAAAAGCCAAAACCAACAACAACAACAGAAACGTCTTTACGTTGGCCAATTTAAATTATTAACTCAAAACTTTAAATTTTAGACGCGTTTGTACGCAAATAATAAGCAAAAGGAAACATAAAAGTATAAGGTGAAAGATGGGATAATAACTCTCGCGAAGGAGACAATTGATTCCAAGTTTCGCGTAATGTACAACCTTGTAATAGCATGGTTGGAAAAAAGAACGCATTTCTTGAAATGAACAATGTTAACACTGAAATGCAAAAATCGAATGGTTGCCATGTCATTGTTATTCATTGAGTTCAACCCCGCTTTTCCTGAATGCTGTTTATTCTTTCTCGTCCTACACTAACATACATACTGCATCTCTTGAGGAGCACTTTTCTTATGTCTCTGATATAATTTTGAAATTATTGATGTGTTCACCTTTAACGTTACCCCAGCAACCCTTGGTTTGACGGCGTTTAACCGTTACATGAAAATAATGAAGACAAACCATTACAATAAGATTTTTTCGACTCGCAAATCTAAGATGTAGCTGATTTGCTGGTGGCTTACCTTTGTACTTTATCTGATCATTGCACGAGTCACAAATTGGTTACCAATTGAATTTTTCCAAAGCTACGCAGTGTGCGCTTTTGCTTTCCCAACCAGTGAAAGTCAAATCGTTCATTACTATATCACTGTGGGACTGCTTTTTATTTTACCGTTGTTTATCGGTATTTTCAGTTATTTTAAGATATATCTTAAAACCCACGAGCATCAACAGAATGTGGTCTCATCGCCATAGAACAGAAGTGAAAATCGTGCAGCGAGAAGCTCAGTGAAAGAAGCAAACATTAGTCGAGTGTTATTGTTCGTGGCTGCGGGATTTTTGTGTT